GAAGTGAATCCAGTGTATAAGGCGGAAGGAAATGACAGATGGAAGCAAGCGCGCTTGAAGAGTACCACGTCCAATGGTTTGGACTGTCACGTCCTCGGCTCCCCACTCGCAGCATCGGGGTCCTTTTGCCTAGCGGGACGCTTTGGGCAGTATTCTATGTAGGCACGTTGACGCGTAGCAATGCTGTCGTGGTGCCTGCGCAGGGATCTTTCTTCGTTGACGAGCCCTAAAGGGAAACATCCGTACACAAAACCAAAGTCGTTGCTTGGCTAACCCGCAGTTTTAACTGCTGGACATCTGGGGACTGTGGGTGTCCTAGGAAGTGTTGGCCATGCTAGGCCTATGACGAAAATGATTTCACGGGCTTCTCCCTTGGCCGATCTCTAACGGCAGTGGAGCTCCTATATTCCTAAAACCAATGGAGGCCTCTGCCTATCCCCTGCAGGACAAAACGTCGCAATCAACATGCTCTGCTGAACGTATTCACCGAGAAACCGTAAAGTGCCTATATGGTGTGGCGGCTGGAGAATAACAGCTTTTACCTGTTGCGGTGCACTCTGTGCATGTAGTTGCCCTTTCGGAACGGCAGAATCTAGTGAGGTTCTGCTTCGCATAGCTATACCCTTGAGAATCAGAGCGGAAAACACCCCGTTTACATCCTGGTATGTACGAGCTAAGGAATCTACTCTAACTCGAATTCCCGTGGTTGATTCGATCTACTGCTAGTTGTACAGACATTACAAAGCATGCCCCTAGCCTAGAATCCCGAAGGTGCATGAGGCTTGAGTTGCGGAAAATACGAGACAACTGATAGCTGTAAGCTCACGGGAAAGGGCGTTACTGGCTCCGTCGTGCATAATTTGCGCAGTTTCCTGCTCTGGAGTGAATGTACATACACGCCATGCAGCTGGTGGACAGGCGGAACCAGGACAGGCTCATGAGTGCAGCCAGTAAAAGAACGAACCTACATCGTCGGCAGCCTTGATCCCAGAGAAACAAATTCTCTATTCCCGTTACGTCATTTACCTTTTCGTTTGTGAAGTTTAAAGCTCCAGGACAGTGTCATCTGCAGAAAGAGATGTGTAGTGGAAGCGAGCTAACGGCGGGAACAGGGAGTGTGGCGCGGGCTTGATGTAGTGTCCACGACGCAGGTGACGGTGGCAGGCTAATTAGCAAAAATTAAACAAGTAATAGCAATAAGCATCACGCACAGGTATGCTCTTGCAATAGATTGTGAACACCGGATGGCATCGAAGTTGTGGGCTGCTGGCGGTTGATGCTCCAGTGCCTTCGGTCGGAAGACCCACAGTAACACTCCGAATAATAAAAAAGTACAGTAGGTAAAAAATAAAGTGAGTGAATGATCCAGTATCATTAAAACAGCTAACGGCTCGTAGTCGTTATGGCTTGCGCTGGTGGGCTGGGAGGAGCCGAGACGGCGACAAGTCCTGCGGTGTGCTGCCGGCGCGGCGAAACTTCGCGCTATGTGTGGGATTGAATTGTTGCCTATTTTATGCAAAATCTGCAATATAAATATTAGACGCCCTAGGAGGCAAATGCTAAAATTCGAATATTTGTACTGGTGACAAGGGCAGTGCTTCCTATTATCGGGTTACTGCTGCCTTGTCGGCCGCAACTAATCGCGCCCCACCGGTAATATTTCCAAGGACCTGGAAGGTTGCTCCCTTTTCTCCATATATTGAGGTGTGTCAATTCGTGCGCTCATGTTTGCATAAAAATGACTATTTTGTGCTCCTTCTGTGGTACTCGTTTGGCGGGAATTGAGTTGCAACTTCGCCGACTACCGAGCAAAGTGTTGTACGAGCGTTAAGGGGCAACATATTCGGCACAAAAATTCGATTTCCCACTAGAATTTTGTATGAAGAATCTGTGTCTGAAAGAGATAACTGAGAGCAGTTATGCTGAGGCGAAAAGCAACATCCTTGCGCATTTAGGATTCATAATCTCTCCATTTAAAATAAACTCTGCAGGAATCTCCGTTATAGCCACAGTTTCTATAGCGTAGTCTGTGCGACTGAAACACCCATTAGATCTTAATCGAGATCCGCAGAGAAAACACATAATTCCAGTTTCAGAGGATGAAAGTGTCCCTCCACCTTCAACTGCTGAAAAGGGAGTTCGTTCCTTGACACATCCTGCTCCGTCGAGACAATCGGAAGAACACAATGATGTTTCGACTAGAAACACTCACTCAACTTCCCTATGCATGCATACACAACACCTGCGTAGGTGCTCTACTTTCCCAACACACACATCCCCTGCAGGGGATAGCCAAAAGCAGCGTCCGCCCACATGTAAGTTTACTTCAAGGATCTATGACCGAGGAGGATTGTTTGGTTGAGCCTCAAAACCCTTCAAGTGGCACTACTAAATGCCGGTTCTACTAGTATTCGTTGTGTCCGTGTACTAATAGGACGTTACATGTATTAGCAAGGCGATGCCCTGGCGAAGTAACTTACCACAGGAAGCTGTTCTGAGATTATTTCGCTTGGCAAAAGCAATGGGCTATTGGGCCTGAATGGAAGGCACTAATGTCATGGTGTATGTGTACCTAGAATTTTAGCATAAAGCTGCTAGTGCTGCCAAAAGTTCCTAACTCCGCAGTATTGCTTTAGGAGGGCGGCTGCGCCCCAGTGGAACACCCTTTAACCCCCTTGTGAAGTTGACGAGCAACGACCACTACACCTGATAATAGGTTAAAGGAGAAAATTGGTCGTCTGTCGACGGAACCTGTTTCGTGCACTACGCCCAACCACGGAAGGTGGAGCTACCTTTCTGTGGGCAAAACACCCCGTGGCAAGGAACCTGCATCTCAATGGCAGTCGATGCTTCGTGTTCGAAGTCCCGTTTAATTCACTCTAGCTAAGAAATAAGAGTCTGAAACAAGGCCAGAGGAAGTGGAAGGCTTGCTCGTCGTTGTGGTGGTGTTGCGGAAAGGAGAGAAGAGGCCGTGCAAGTAATGGTGATGGTGGTGATAGTGATGATGGTCAGAATGTTGCGGTGGGCATGGCGGGGGGAACTCCGGCTTCTCAGGCTTTTCTGGCTTCTCAGGTCTTCCAGGTTTATCAGGTCTTCCAGGTTTCTCAGGCTTTTCTGGCTTCTCAGGTTTCTCAGGCTTTTCTGGCTTCTCAGGTTTCTCGGGCTTTTCTGGCTTCTCAGGTTTCTCGGGCTTTTCTGGCTTCTCAGGTTTATCGGGCTTTTCTGGCTTCTCAGGTTTATCGGGCTTTTCTGGCTTCTCAGGTTTCTCGGGCTTTTCTGGCTTCTCAGGTTTCTCGGGCTTTTCTGGCTTCCCAGGTTTGTCGGGCTTTTCTGGCTTCCCAGGTTTGTCGGGCTTTTCTGGCTTCCCAGGTTTCTCGGGCTTTTCTGGCTTCCCAGGTTTCTCGGGCTTTTCTGGCTTTCCAGGTTTCTCGGGCTTTTCCGGCTTTCCAGGTTTCTCGGGCTTCTCAGGTTTCTCGGGCTTTTCTGGCTTTCCAGGTTTCTCGGGCTTCTCAGGTTTCTCGGGCTTTTCTGGCTTCCCAGGTTTGTCGGGCTTCTCAGGTTTCTCGGGCTTTTCCGGTTTTTCCGGCTTCTCAGGTTTCTCGGGCTTCGAGGGTTTTCCCATCTCCCCTGACTCCTCAGGATCATCCGATTCCTCAGGATCCTCTGGGCCCTCAGGGTCCTCAGATTCCTCAGGATCCTCGGATTCCTCAGGATCCTCTGGGCCTTCAGGGTCCTCAGATTCCTCAGGATCCTCGGATTCCTCAGGATCCTCCGGGTCCTCAGGGTCCTCAGATTCCTCAGGCTTCTCAGGTTTCTCCGGGTCCCCAGGTATAGGGGTTGTTGGTACTGTGATAGTAACGGGAATACGCTCACCCTCGACATTGATTGCCAATCGCCCGCTGAGCAACTGCAGAACTATGTTAGGATCGACTTCACCAAGATAGCCAAGCTGAGGATATGCATTGGAAACTTCTCCCCCTCTCCCACCGTAAACATTTTGGAGGTTCCATGTCTCGGAACCGTGAGACAGCGTTATGCTGGCTGCAAGCAGCACGGCAATACGAGCAAGCACCGCCATTATGTATGGACCGAAGTCACCTAATTACCTTTTTCCGTTTTTTTGCCCTAATGGCAATAACTGTGACACAACCACACAGGCGGTTCTGGCCTCCAACAACAGCCGACTGCTGCCCAAGTGGAGGGGATGCTCAGCAACCCCACTGCGCCTATAGGCGATGACGGAGCGCCACGGCGCCTTACCTATCCATCGCTTCAAGCGCCCACCTTTTCCTAGCCTTCTAAAATAGGCACCTGAGTGTCTAAAATGAAAACGTATTGCGAGAAATCCTCTTAAAATATTCTAGAAATGTGGCTACATGTGTGCCAATACTTCGCCAGTGCAGAGTGAGAAGGGAACATGGCAAAATGCGGCAATCGCTAATTCGGAACGCCCACACCCACGTCAAGGGAATCATAAATTTTATTAGCTATCTTTACCCACGAAAAAGCTTTATAGGTGAGAAAACAACTTATGCGAGCGCATTGCATTTGAAAAAGAGGACTTCACGAAGGTGACCTCTGAGTTGCTGCTGCAACTTTTAGCCGAGGCAAGGGAGGCAGTGGGGTCTGTCTGCAAACAATCCCTTCTAGTTCCAAAAGAATTCTTGGCAGCATTGTTTCAGCGTTTTTAAGCGTAAATGCAGTGGAAATTGCCTGTCGCATTGACTGAGTACAGCACATGCACATCTCAGGTATTACGTGGCAAACTCCTGCGCACACTAACAACTGGTTGCAAACTTCCGCCAGTCATACTTGGGCATCTTGCCAAGGCCTAGACAAATCAATAAACTTGATCAGTGCGGGGAAATGTAAGGTTGTGTTCGATGAAATAACTGCCTTCCAACAGGTTTGGGCCGTCAATAACCAGGTACGCCGGTGTGGTATTTTGACCGTATGGGAGATATTTCCCCCAAGCAGTGGTAACAAGCTGCAGAACAGTTCGTAAACAGTTCATATTCACTAAGCTGTAGGTGTGCAAATTGCTAGGAATTAGATGTAGGAGAACAAGCGGGATAGCATTATCCGTTGGGGACTATTTCCCTCGTACTTCGGACGAGCAACGTAGAGCACCACGCATTCTTATCGTTCATTAAGGTATGGGGTTCGTTTTAACAACAGGCACATTTATTGTTTTGGCGCCACTATGATGTTTCGCCCGTTGGCTTGGGGGCTTGGGGAATAGTGTCCATTATTGTCCGCTCCTTAAGGGCCTTATGAGTCATCATCCATGATGGCCGCATGGGTGCCCTCATGGATGATAACTCGTAAGCCACAGCGTTTGAGTAAGTATTATGGTTAGCCAGCAGGCCAGAGTGAAATAACCTTTTGTTTATCTTCTGTGGGTATTTTGGTGAAGTGTGCCTCGTGACGAATGCTCAAGCGACGGATCCATTGCGCACAATGGCTCTGGTTCTGACACCTGGAAGTCAATTTTCGTGCAAAAAGGCAGAACAGCAACCGTCAGTAGAAAACAAGGGAAAATTAGCGCAAGTCAATGGGATGCCTACACTTACAAGAATTAATTTACTTGGAGTAGTCGATGGTGCTTGGTATATTTTACTGGGGACGCACTGAGGAGTTGCAAAATACAATTTCTTTCGTAAAGAACCAAACAAAAATAAATGTTAGCGTAATGGCATTCCATCATTAAAAATTCTTCATATCGTCAAAAGAATTGCATTAGTCATTTTTTCGCAAGTTGCCGAGCGGCCATATTTCGTACTTGCCTTTCCCCTTCCCATGAGAACACGTCCCCGCCAACGGTTGTGCCCGGCAGGTGATGTTTTCCGTGAACAATCAAAATATCTATAGGTGATTTCGAAGGGCCTCTGATATTTTAAGAACACTTAAAGAAAGAATTGCTCTCCTATAAAGTGACTCCAAGACACTGCGCAGCAACTTTTGGGGGGCACTACCGCTTGAGCGCTGCTTGCCAAACAGCTATAATTTTGGGATGGTCACACTCTTTTCGTCAAATACCCAACAAGCAATAAATGATTATTTCGCGCTATGATAGCTGAATGACCTTAGTACCCACTGCAGTCTTTATCAGTTTGCCGATGTTGGCGATGCGAAAGCCTGCTCACCTTCTATATCGTTGCATATTGGTGTGCACTAGTGCGCAGGGGGCAAATCAGCTAAAATTGGCTAGCTTCTTGGTTTTTCTTTGCAGCAGAGGAATTCCTGTTCTGCAAACCTTGATAATTTGGTGGACCGCAGCCGTTGCGGTAACTTTACAGAATGCTTAGCACATGTACTTCAACACTACGTGGTATGTAAAAGCCCTGTTTAGCTTCCCGCAATGGCCTGCGAAAACTAACTTTCGGGTGAGCATTAGCTCTCAGCCATCTTTGTAAGCGTCTGCCCAGCGGTCTCTTCCCATGTTGCCAAGTGATGTCGCCACTAAAGCCGTTGTGCTCTGATGCAGCCTGACAAGGCAGACGAGGCAGGCCCACTTGTACATTTAGTACATCTGCCCTTGATTCAAGACGGGAAAGAATAGTTTGAAGTTGTCGATGGTTTCTATCGCGCTGATGGGGGCTCCACTGAACATCCGCACTTTTTGGAGAGATTCTATTCTAGATATCTACGCGGCAACTTCAAACTCTACTACGTCATAGCTCTTATTATTTGTTGAGAAGGTTTGTAAGAGTTAAATATGTGGAATCGCTCTTTTACGGTGGGAAGAGTATGGAGTTGTGTCCTGACTCTTGTCCAAACGCCGACCGCCGACGGCAGTCCTCAAGGGCCTCAAGGGCCTCGGGATGCTCCGTTTGACCAGTGGAATGGCAGACAAAGAGAGAGCAGGCACAGTTAAAATTGCATTAGGGCTGGGTAATACACTTAATTCAATAGCAAGTACTGTCTTACTGGCCCTCCAACCAGTAAACCAGTGGGTCAGTGGCTGACTGGGGCCTTACACACCGAGCGGCCTTGAGCCTTATCTAGTTTCCACCTACAGTATTTCTCAGCAGAGCTTATTAGCCCAAAGTGTCAATTTACAACAGCTTGTGAAGGTCAAGCAGACAGTTCTTCAAGCATTGTGTACACCCGTCGAACTATGGCCAGAGGATGTCACCTACTTAGCTGCTCGGTTCCTTCCCATCTTCGTCCTTGGCTGCCATCTACGTTCAGTCAGCCTGCTGAACGTGTTTTTGTTCACCTCAACCGGCAAACCCAATACGTTCAAATCTCGTAAATGTTTTATTTGACTGTCTGAAGGTGTATGGAAGTGGGTCGAGACCTTAGGAACCTCCATGCTCATCCCAGTCCCGTCAACGGCTGCTGACTTGCAAAAGGTATCAAGGTCTTGCTGCAGTTCTAATTCAGAGGACCAGGTCGTCCTGCGAGTGTTAGTTTCCGGGTTCCAGGATTATCCGTGCTTCCGCAGTACGTAGGTCACTCCTCTGTGATGGTGCGGAAGGGCGGCGCAACCGCCGAATTCGTGTATGGATTGGGTATCAGCTCCTTACAACCAACGGAACAAGTAGACAATAACGAAGAAACGCCATTGCGGTTTGTCAGCGTCCAACTACAGCTCGCTAATTCAAGCAAAAACCTAGACGTTGGTTAGTCCACTGGGCCTTCCTGATTCGCGGCCAAGTTGTAGAACAAGATGAGCACGCACTAATTCAATTTGAGTGCAGTTGCCAGGGAGTCGGCAAATACACTCTCAGTGGGCATCCCTATAGCCGTTCATTGGCAGAGAATGAGCAGCTCTTCGCGACTGCTGTGCTTCAGACATCCACGCTTTCCTCTTCGAGGCCGACGGCACATACGTTGACTGTGTATTTTACAAGAACCCGACCCTTGCTGGCAAAAGTGTTCGACTTCTTCAGGAAGACCAGGAGCTCCTCGTAGACTTACGCTATATACCTCAAAGATGCAGTTTCATCGTCTGCACTTTGGCAATCTACTCAGGTGGTACTGTAGCGCAGTTGGGTGATGGCTCCGTACAGGTCAGCACAACTGAATTTGGTATTGATTCCGTTGTTGGTTCCGTCGTTAAGTGTCAAACCACTTGATAGTCATATTTGCTTGGCTCAACAGTGGTAATTGTAATTCATGGCGTGCTTCTGAGTAAACTTTTTCCTTGGCGGTATCCAAATGCACTCCAGGTCCTTTTATCGGATGGGAAACTGATTTTCACGATTTGATTCCCTATCATGCTTTCTCTTTTATGGGTCTTGCCGCAGCTGGGCGCGTTAGTCCCTCGCGTAGGGCTAGAAGAGAACGCAAATTTCCCGCATCTTCCCTGCGGTCAGATTCCTCCAAGCTCTTCCGAGTTCTACGAATGGGTATGCCTTGGAATGCTGCCTTTGAGACCGAGGAGCAGCCTTGGCGAGGAATGTGGTATGATGCTGTGCCTGCTTGCCCATCATGCCGGCTTCTGGTACTTCAAGCCTGTGTTGAAACCTGTCACAGCTTTCACCCCCCAGGGGCTTATCGAGCCCGCACAGGTACAGCTTAATTTCCCGGCTGCGCAGCAACGCTGAATTGCGATAATTCCACAGTCGCAGCGTAGCCTCCTAACTGACTGCCTCCCAGAAGCCAAGACGTTCATATCGTACCGCATTTCCATGTCTCCGAACTCAGGATTACGTTACGAAGCAAGTTGCGGGATTGAATGAAGAAAAACCGGGTATGGAGCTTGGTTCTTTGATTAAGGCAGCTCGAGCGGGTGCCCATGTACAGTTTGAACTGGCAGATACAGAAGAGTGTCTAACAGTAAGTCAAGCACGTATCGTGGTTGGTGTTCACATGATAAAGCTCGCGGTGTTCATTCGTGGAGAAGGCAGTGGAGGCCGAGGTCATTTAATGTCTGCTCCTTTCTCGTTGTGCATTTTTTCTTCCCTTTGTTGGTAATAGGAACCAGCCGACGGGCTCAATACATTCAGAACTCCTGAGACCGGGACCCTGCAGGGAGTTGGACCTAAAACTGGAAGTGCAATAGGAAGTAACTTAGGAAATGACCAACCCGAAATATATACGTAAGGGTGTGCACACTGCGATTCAGGTTAATATTAGCTCCGCAAGCTTTTCAGTTGTGGCTATTCTTTGCTTCTTGGGCTGTATGTGATGCGTAGACACGCAATGCACCCACCTATTTATACAAGTATTTTTCAGTCATTGTTGTGTGTGGAAACTCTGATTGTATAGTGGCGGCTCTTCTGGTGGAGACACAAGCAGGGACAACTTGAGGTTGTTCACACGAGATGAAGGCAAACGAACATGGGAGGGCGCTGAAATTCAAGCGGGTCAGTTTTCCCAGGACGAGACCAAAGGGCACATGCTGCTAGCGCAAGGCCAAGGCGATGTGGCCGTAGGGAAGACAAAGACAACTAGCAAGCAGATCGCTCCGACGCTGCAAACTACTGCCGACTCTTCACGTGGTAAAATTCCACATCATGTTCAAGAACGTAGCAGACTTCTGGATAACGAGACACCAGGCAACATACGTGACTTCGAAAATAATCAGTTCAGAAATAAGGATGCCCAACCTCTGGATATGGAGCAGAGTGCTAACAACAGAGGTGGGAGAAGAGTTAAGGCGCAGGAGAAGGAAATCCGTGGGGTCCCAAGGGGTCAGGAATACAGTGGTGGTGTCGTGAAAGTACAAAAGGATGGAAGGGTCCTCTACACCGATGCTAGTGTGGATGCAGTTTCAGACGAGGCCAAAGGCATTGAACGCCCGGCCAATCGTTTTTACAGGATACCAGGATCTGACAATAAGCTGACAGGGGACCGGTGAGTATTAGCAGACTTACATTTCCGTTCGCTAGCCGTTTTCGTAATGTTGAAGTGAAAGCGGTACGAGGGGGCACAGGGCTATACAGAGAACTAACAGCATCTTCATTGCGCATTGGTGGCACGGCACCAGTTTGCTTTGAATTGTTGGACATGGGCAGACCCGATTTGTTTTTTGAATCCCTGCAGTGTCGTCGATGGAGTCTCGTCGCTCGTATCTTATCCTCCTGTTGATGGCCACGGAGAGGCGCCTAACCATGGAGTACATGTATCCGACGGGCGCGATATGGCAGGAAGGCAGGACTTGTGGAGAGAGTCTGTTGAACGGCGTCTAAGTGCATTAGAGCGTTCTGTCGAAAGCATCGAGTGCAACCTCCAGAGGATTGCGGCAGCAACATCCGAAATGCAAAAGAACAACAATCTTTATCTTCAGGAACTGCGCGAGAGGTTTACAGAACTGAAGGTAGATATGGCCATTCCTCAGTATGAATAAACGACAGTTGGTATTGGGAACACGGGGTATGGGCCAGCGTTTGCAGTTCGCCTTAGTTTTGCGGTCGAAAGCTCTTTCCTGGTGACTAGTGGTGGCTAATGCCCTGGATGGTACAAAAAATGTTCACGCAGTCTCAGTGCACGTACACAATTGCGAGAGAGGGGACATTTGTGTGATGAGCTAAGCTGTTGTCTTCCTGCAGAGCGACGTCGCCTCAGACATTGAATCTGCCTTGTCGGGTCCCCTGGAAGCGCTCAGTTTGAGAGTGGAGGAAGTGAAGGACGGCGGAGGAGCTGATGCAAAGCAATTAGCAGAACAGCGGCAAAAGATTTGGGCAGTAGACCGGATGGTTCTTTTCCTCGAACGGAATTGGCATATATTAGCCCAGTCCATATCAGAAGTAAGGAATACGCTTTCACTGTTTTGTGCGCGTGATGATCCTTCATGTATCGTTGCCTTCTTGTCCATCATTATAAACATTTTTTGGTTTCGTTGCTTCCTCAGCTCCGATTTCAAATTTCGGGACTGGAGCAACGCATCGAATACGCTGTACCTGCTTTTCGGGAAGCCACTCTGCCGCCAACAGACCATGCAAAAGTCCGTTTTCATTGCCTAGGACGAATAAATTCAGGTTTTTGTTCTTGAAAGACTGCTTGGATAAATTTTTTTGGGGGGGGGGGGGGGGGGGC